AACAGAACAGAACATATACTTTATTTCTGACTCAACACTCATCATCATAACATACAGATATATGTATATTTATTACAATGTAGGCATCAAGATGTCAATGTACTGCTCACTTCTCTGCAAGGAGCTGTACATTGACATCACATTCAACAATTTAACCCAATATCTAATGTAGAAATATACTCATATTAGCTTATTATCAAATCAAATTATATTTTACCGTGAGTGAGCCTTGAAAAACTATTTCATGTTTAAGGGTAAAAAGATACAACAAATAATAACAAATAATATGAAAACGAAATCGACATCTAAGACGTGCTTTAAACCTTTGACATTTTTACTTTTGAATATGTACAAGGCAATGTTGAGCCATTTTAGTTAATATTTAGTGGGGTTTTTTTTGTTTGTTTGTTTGTTTTTTTGTTTTGTTTTTTTGCTGCCTGAACATTTTAAGAAATAAAAATTTCTTAAAGTTCTTATCCGTATCAAAGGAAAATGGACGTGTCTATAAACGATCGTATAACATAGCCTATAGTGTATTATATGATTAAATCATCGTGTATATATTAATATCACAGACAGTTAATGAAAATATATTTTTGGACACATTTTCCTGAGAATTACTGTTCTTCAGATAGACCTGCCTTTCTTTTTTCCCCTCAGGGATTAGATAGTTATGCAAGTAAAGACTTACTTCGTTTGTATTCAAGAAAATATCACGAAAAGTAGACAATTTTGACGGACGATGTTATATCTTATTCCTGACTTTTAAATCAGAGATGTTTTCATTCTAAATATGGTTGCAATAAAAGTGATATAAACGCATTGCAGTTAAAGTAATCGGGAAAACATTTTTAATACGTTTTGAGTAATGTTATTAGTGATATTGCATTTTTAATTTATAAAATTATAGATCGAATATGACATATATAGTTCTGTTTTACTTATTTTCCAATCAAGTCATATTTTGTTATAATATGTCAATCCTTATTTGCTTATGATCTACATAATTGAAATGTATGCAATCAGCAAGCAGTTAAGTGAACGTTTATATTTTCTGCACAAATAATGATGTACATACCAACATATCAACATATTTCTATTGTGACTTTCTCGGTAATTTCTTTTTCTATTAAAATCACAGTAAATAATACACGTCGGTAGATTAAAATAATGAAAACCGTATTATGGCTGTCGCTAGACTACATGGACAAAGGGAGAAAACAACAATGTGCACATTATAACAGGTTTGGTGTACATTACTTCCCTTATTTTCTGTAACTTAACATAACCAAGTGCAAACTCCTCACAGTGATTACCTCCCTTGGCTAAGGGGAGATCACTGCGTAGGAGATTTGGGTAGAGGTACAATACTTTTTAGCGAGCTGGGAGGAACGAGACATACAACGTAGGTGCTGAGGATTGTGGAATGTGTGTGACACGCCCTATTTAACAAATACCCTAGTTTGAAATATATTTTTTTTATTTTGAAAGTTTTGCTAGAGGAAAGTCTCCGTACTGTATTCAACTATTTCATTTCATTCATTTGTTTCTTTAATTTGTTCTTTCATCTTTATTTTCTTTATTTTTCATTATATTTTCTCTTATTTTCAATGTCATCCGATATTTTATATCGTATAAATGTAATGTACAAGTATCTTGTCATAAATTATCAATACAAAATCTTCGTGATGCTTAGATATTGCTTTTATCATTGTTTTTGATAAAAAATGTTTGAAAACTTACTCAATGCTAAAGCTTATCAAATCATAAATTCAAAAGTCTTTTCAAATACTCACGCTTTTTGATATAAATAGAACAGGTATGGAAGATCGATATGGCTAATAGCTATTTTACTAATTAATGAGGCATATATCGTATTTCAGGTAATATCAAAAGAAGAGGCCGGTTGAAACTATGCCAGAAATAATTTGCGATCTTCCGTTAATGTTGACGATACTCTGTTTTAAAACAACAAAATATGGAGTTCTTAATTCTAAATTTGTTTCTACTGGCGATTTTCTGCCAATGTAAGTATTATTAATGATATTTGATTTATTCTTTATACGTCGATAGTTAACTTTGCTTGTATTTTACTTTTTGTCATGAAGAAGTAAAAACATTGGATTCGATTATAAATCAATCGAATCGAGAATTTTGAAATGAACTTCTTTAGCACAAATTCAGTTCACCTTAATGTTATTTTATTTATACAACAAAATGTAATATTTATTGATTATTTAAAAACAAATAATCTGTAAAATCTGGATCAAGTATAATATTTTTTGGCAACTTTTGTGAAAAAAAATCATTATAAATTTTAAAGAGAAAAAAAAGATGTTATATTTAAGAGTAAAAATATTTTCCAATTATTTTCGTATTGTTATTTCTGATTAATAAATAAAGTATAAAAGTGAAGTAATATATAGAGAATATTAAATGAATATTAAATGAGTGTAAGTTCAATACTGAATTTATTGCACGAGTTGAATAAAATTATATTATGCGAGCCTCTGGCTTTTTTTAAATTCTTTTTTAAGTGTCTTTGTTAAAGAAGTAGCCATGATATGCAAGGATAAAGTATGGCTGTTATAAAAAATGAACATAAATGATTTTTGATGCAACTCTAGTTGGCAAAATTCCGTATGTATCAAACTCAGAAAATACCACAGAGCTTGCAGCCCTTTGATTGTTTTAGTGTCCAACTTTATTTGTCATCCAATGAAAACGCTGTATTTCTTAAAAATTATGTGCGTTAAATTTCATAGAAGTACAAAAGTCGATACTATATCGAATTCCGTTCATAGTCGACTTCTATTTTTCATAGTACTTCATAAAACCGCATAGTGACGTAATAGAGTGAATGATAATGAGGCCAAATAAAGTTTGACACTAAATATGTTAGTATTCATCCGTGCTGTTCTACAGAAATTAGAAACCTTCTACTGTCGCTATCGCTCCCGTCGAAGTTTCTAATTTCTGTAGAACAGCACGGATGAACACTAACATATACATAGTGTGCGCTTTGTATATGTTAGTGTTCATCCGTGCTGTTCTACTTGGTATCAGTGTTTTAGTAGTGCCCTGTGTTTTAATAATGTCCTGCGTATAAGGGTTTGAGTAGACCTGTGTTTCAGTGTTTGAGAAGTGTCCTGTGTATCAGTGTTTTAGCGCTGCATCTGCGTGTCAGTGTGAGTAGTGCTGTATTTCAGTGTTTTAGTAATGTCCTGCGTGTCAGTGTTTGAGTACCCTGTGTTAGTGTTTGAGAAGTGTTCTGTGTGTCAGTAGTGACCTGTGTGTCAGTGTTTCAATAGTTGCCTGTGTGTCAGTGTTGCAGTAGTAATGTGTCACTAATGTACTGTGTGTTAGTGACCTGTGTGTCAGTAGTGTCTTGTGTGTTAGTGTTGCAGTAGTGTCCTGTGTGTCAGTAATGGCCCGTGTGTTATTAGTAGTATCCTGTGTGTCGGTGTTGAAGGTGTCTTGTGTGTCAGTAATGTCCTGTGAATCAGTATTGTCCTGTGTGTCAGTGTTGCAGAAGTGTCCTGTTTGTCAATAGTGTCCTGTGTGTGTCACTGTTGCAGTAGTTTCCTGCGTGTCAGTAATGTTCTGTGTGTCAGTGTGTCAGTAATGTTCTGTGTGTTATAAGTATTGTCCTGTGTGTCAGTGTTGCAGTAGTGTCCTGTGTGCCAGTAATGTTCTGTGTGTCAGTGTTGAAATAGTATCCGGTGTGGTCAGTATTGTCCTGTGTGTTAGTGTTGCAGTAGTGTCCTGATGTGTCAGTAATGGCCCGTGTGTTATTGTAGTAGTATCCTGTGTGTCGGTGTTGCAGGTGTCTTGTGTGTCAGTTTTTGTCCTGTGTGTAAGTGTTGCAGGTGTGTCCTGTGTGTCAGTAATGTTCTGTGTGTCAGTGTGTCAGTATTGTTCTGTGTGTTAGTAATGTCATATGTGTCAGTGTTGCAGTAGTGTCCTGCCTGTGCCAGTAATGTTCTGTGTGTCAGTGTTGCAGTAGTGTCCTGTGTGTCAGTATTGTCTGTTGTTGTCAGTGTTGGCAGTAGTGTCCTGTGTGTCAGTATTGTCCTGTTGTGTCAGTGTTGCAGTAGTGTCCTGTGTGTCAGTTATGTTGAGTTTGTCTCTGAGTTCGTGTTGTGTGGTATAGTGTTATGTGTGTAAACATTTGAGTAGTGTGGAGTAGTTTTTTTAATTAATTTACGAAAGATTTGTTATTATTTTAGTAGTAGAAAAGGATTGTTACTATTTTAGTTGGAGTAGCGGGGGATCGAACTCGCAAACCCCTAATTTGTAGTCATACAGTTGTTGACCACTGCCACTACAGCGCCCGCCTCTGATTTATAACCATTTTGAATGTCTCTTTATACAAACTTGAAATTGAGTAATGCAATTTAATTTTTTTCACACCTTAAATAGTTAATTAGCTGTTAGCTCTAAAGTGTTTTCAATGGCTGACATTCGTATCCTTGCCCGAGGGGGTTATGATTAAATACGAGTATGCGTAAAAAGAAAATAAGTAAAGACTGTTGACAGGCAATAAAAATGCCAGAAAAAAAAACACGTTTTGTTAAAAATAGAGATCGCAGTTCTAATATGACAGTAAGTAAGCGGAAATTACTAGTAATACTTGTTGTTAATTGAATAAATTGATGGTTTTTGAGGACAAGTCTTTTTAATCTTAATTTTTTCACATTGTTAAAGATAACACTGTTAAAGTGGAAATTAGGTGAAAAAAGTATGTTAAAAGCAGCAAAACTCCAGCCTCATTTACTAATCTTTATGAACATTTTTTAAAAATTTCTAATGTACATTTGTAAATTAAAGGTAAAACATTTTCGAGGGAACAAAGAAACTTATTTAACCCATTACCGCAAAGAACACTTCCAATCCACTAAATTAGCAAATAAATTTCAAACAGCAAAAAAAAAAAAAAAAAAAAAAAAAACAAATATATGACACGTTTGTTTGAATTCTTACCAAATGCGTATTACCCCGCCACTCTACGGTCGACCAAGGCACTACAGTTGGTTATTCGCGGAATCATCAGCTACCTAACCACCAATTTGTAGTTGGGGTAATTCGGATAGTGCATGGATATTAACGGTTAACAAATGTTACGGTTTATATAACAAAAATATTGTGTTTCCATAATATGGTAAAACCCCCTTCACCATTACATCGACCCAAGGGCACAACCAGTTTGGTTAAATTTCGCGGTGAATCCACTACTCCTATCAGAAGGTAGTTGGCCCAACTGTCGAACTTTGCATGTTTACCCATTGATAACGAAAGTGTTTTTTTCCAGAATAAATATGACGGGTTACTATTACCAAGAAATAGATGTATTCTTCAACATTGAAACCCCGTCTCCCTATGTCCTCCAGGGGGACTCAGTTGGTTTTTTTGCTTTGTATACTTGGAAGGTAGTTGGCAATTCGGATATTGCCATTAAAAAATTATTACTCCTCCAAAACAAAAGTTACTTTTTCTGAAACAAATGGTTACCGTTATATAAACTAAATATGAAGTTTTTCATATGTATAACATGGTAACCCACACCCTTCACTATAAATCGACCGGGAACTTCAGCCTGGTTATTAGCTTGAATCCCAAACTGTCAACCAGAAGGTTAGTTGGGTTATTCGAATTTGGTAGGTAGTCTCTAAAAATAGCAAAAAAAATCACAAAAATTTACGATATTAATTATATACAAGATAGAGGAAATCACCCCGCTTCATTACGTCACGACCAGGGACCCAGTTGGGTTATTTTGTGAATTCCCAGCTACATACCCACAAGGCGTAGTTTTGGTAATTAAAACTTCTGCTGTTAGATAGGTTTGGGATTCGCCCGATAAAAACAACTAGGTTCCCTTCCTTTATTTCTGGTGTTTAAAAATGTATGATGTTGTTTCTAACATTTCATTGCTGGTGATAGTTTGGATTGAATTGCCAAACTACCAGCTGTTGAATTTAGTTCGGGAATTACGGAAATAACCAAACTATTCCAGCTAGGTAGGTAGTTGGTTTATTCGAATATTCCAACCACCTACCAAATTGACGCTCCATTTCATTTTGTAAATCTTTAAAGGGACTCCATGAGGTTTTTTGACATGATGGTACTGAAAAATATTTATTCCAGATAAATAAACATTTTGATGTAGCTTTTTGACCTGTAATCTTTGCCGGCAAAATTTTTCAGATCATTTCCGCGCACTTTGTTGTTTTTTGTTTTTTTTTGTGTTTTTTTTCTCAGAATAATTTATTTCAAATTTTAAAAAAAAGACCTAAAATGATAAGCGTTTTAAACACTCAAATCGAGCTTAGAAAAGCATAAAAAACACGATTTTTCATTTTTTTTTCAAAGTATTTTTTTCTTAAACTATTCTTTGCATAATTTATATTCCTGCTTTTTTAAATTTTCCCCCAGCCTCATTTATGTAAGGGAAATTCAAAATATGTTTTAAGGGCTTTTTTAACCTTTAGTGGGAGTCCCCCTTAAACACACAATTGCGGATTAATATCTATTTTTATTTAATTGTTACCCATGAAATATGGTGCCTATATATCAAGTCAAATATATTTCTTTTCTTTTTTTTTTTAAATAATATGAAATATTTAATTATGAAAAGTTTGGGCGGAAGTTCAAACTCATATCTCTATTTTAATAAGGGACTTCTTTTCGCCATTTTGTTTTACGGGCCAGCCCGCATAGCTCAATCGGTTAGGAGCGCGAGAAATTGTAATCTCGAACATTGTGGGTTCGAAATTCCCCGGGCTGGCCAACTTAAATTACTAATCGTCTTTCGGGGATGGGGAGAGAATTTTAAATCGAAGTCCCCGTGGGTATGGGGTGCTTAAAACACTTGGCACGTTAAAGGAAACCAAAGGAGAAGTTTCTGGAAATTGGGGCATCTTTCTGTATCTGGTAATTGCCACTATCCTCCCAAAAAAAAAAAATGACTAATACTCTTCTGGAGGACCCCCCATTATGGGGCAACCGGGTGGCGAGTAAATTTAAA